AAGAGCCGAATTTCCAGAAGAATTGTTTAGAATCTGGTAAACCCTTGAAGACATCAAGTAAATTACTGTCTTTAAGTCCTTTCTTGGATTCCGCGGGAGTAATGCGTGTAGGCGGAAGGCTCAGAAACTCTGCAGTTTCAAATAATCAGAAACATCCTATGATTTTACCAAAGAATCGCAATATTACGCGTTTAATTATTAAGCATTATCATGACACGTATCTTCACGCAGGTACGCAGCTACTCACTTCTGTCATACGACATAGATTTTGGATTGTGAATGCTAGAGATATTATAAGAAAGTGTATAAAAAACCCAATGTGTTATCTGCCGTAGATAGAGTTAGAGCGCAAACTGCAACTCAGCTAATGGCAGATTTACCCGCTTCAAGAGTTACTCAAAGTAGAGCTTTTTCTCGTGTAGGGATTGATTTAGCAGGACCATTTAACGTTAAATATCGTCCGGGTAGAGGAGTCAAAATCTTTAAGTGTTACGTATGTCTATTTATTTGTTTTACTACAAGAGCAATACACTTAGAATTAGTTGGAGATCTTTCAACAAAAATCATTCCTCGCGACACTTAAGCGGTTTATAGCTCGTAGAGGCAAACCGTGTGAAATTCACAGTGATTGTGCAACGAATTTTATAGGAGCTAATAAAGAATTAAGGAAAGCCTTTTCTATTGTTCAACGTGATGAACAGCTACAGGGTTATATTTCTTCAGAAAATATTAAATGGTTGTTTAATCCTCCCTCTGCCCCTCATTTTGGAGGGCTTTGGGAAGCGGGTATCAAGTCTATGAAACATCACTTAAAAAGATGTTTAGGAACACTTATTTTAACATACGAGGAATTTTTGACATTAATAACCCAAATTGAATCCTGTCTTAATTCTAGGCCTTTAGTACCAGCTTCAAGTGATTGTAGCGACTTGGAGGCGATAACACCAGGACACTTTTAACCGGAGCGGCTTTAAGCGCTATTCCAGAATCTAACCAAATTCAAGAAACCATGAGCTGCAGTGATCCGTTGGAGGAACGTGCAAAGGTTATTTCAACATTTCTGGAAGAGATTGGAGCAGTGAGTATTTATCTAGATTGCAGCAGAGACCGAAGTGGTGCAAGGTACAACAAGATCCTGAAGATTGGTGATATGGTTCTTATTAAGAACGAACGAAAATCTACCTCCGCTACGTTGGAAATTAGGTAGAATTATTAAAGTGCCTATCCTGGTCTTGGATGAGAAAGTTCGAGTGGTGAGTTTACGCACGTTCCTAATGGTGAAATAAAACGACCTATAGCAAAGCTATGCGCTTTGCCATTTAATTCTTGATTTAGAGACTTTAATTTTTTTTTTCTGGTTTATGCAGTTCAACAGTTTAAATTTATTGTTTGAACCCCCTTGGGACTTCAAGGCTGGGGGTATGTTCGATGTTATGCAAATTGTATTTCTTTCTTTGTACCGAGGAGCGGCGCAGACGCAAATTTGTTGTTAGGTTTTTTAAAGCTCGCGGTTAGAGCTTCGAGGTTGCTGTGAATTACTGGAGTTTCAACTAAGCAGAGGTTCTTCTGAGTTTGTGTTGGTAAGCCGCCACTGAAGTCGGAGTTTGTGTGGTCTTCGCCGTTCCTCTTCGCCTAACTTACTATTTGAAAGTCAATAAAGAAGTTTCGGTCAACGTTAGGAGTCTGAGGTTTTTTGAGTTCTATACTGAAGTAATATCAAGTTAATTTACAGTCCACTATTTTTAAACAACGGAACGTACAGTGACCTTAAAGTTCGTTGAAGAAATAAAGTTCGTTGAATTTATCTGTTGAAGAATTTATGATTTCCAAAAAATAATTCTATACAGCCAAACCACATTAAATTTATTATTAATCACTAATTAATAATACTCATTATTAAATAGTGTCATATTAAATTCCAAGAAATCGTGTTTTACAGCCAAGTTTAAATACCACTTCAAAACTTCATTAAAAAGATAATGGCATCACCATGAAATCTGCTGACATAACTCAATATGATAATTCACTTTTCCAGGATACTTTTTTTTTTTTTTTTTTTGAGAATAAATGACTAATGTCTTTTGTGCTGATTTTATAATTTTAAGTATGATTAGTAATATGATTTTATATTTATTTTGAAAAGAAATAATGAAATTATATTTTTATGCAATAGTACATGGTGAATCGGAAATAAGGCTATGCATTTGATTGTATTATGTGATGAGGGTGTTATGGCTGTTGAAATTGAGGTAGTGTCATTGTAAAGTCATTTTGGTACTTATTGGTTATCCAATATCTGCTGATGCAGCCCAAAAAATTCCATGTGACTCAATTATTTCAAATGTTTGGTTTTTCTAGCCAAAATGATGTTTATATTTTTATTTTCTTGTTAATGTCCTCTCCTCCCTTTTTTCCCTAGGAGAGGGTGAGAATGGCATTTCTTTCTTTCTTTCTTTCTTTCTTTTTTTTTTTTTCTTTTCTTATTTCAATACCAACTTTGATTCTGAGACTAGCATTTTAATATTCAGAGACAGGCTGCAGGGGATAACAATCTGTCTATTGGTGGATATCGCATAACCAGCAAGTATCATCAGTTTTTCAAACTGAAGAGCAGTACACTACAGTATCAATCAGACTGTTTTTTTATGAGTTATTATAAGTATGTTATAATGTTGGCACTTAACATATTAGCACAACCTCTATAGTAGAAGTCACTAAATTTTTAGAATATGTGAAACTCTAGCAACTATTCACGTATCAGTTCTTCAGTTTTAATGAACAACATTGCTATTTTGCTGCAAAAGTTTTAAAAGCAGCACTTGCTTTGAATCTAATTTTACAACAATCATCATGAAATCTCTGTCTCCCATAAAGAAACAAAAACCCACTTGTAAATAAATACATTCTTAGACAAAAAAAAAAAAAAAAAAAAAAAAAAAAGGCACCGAGAAGATATAAAGCAAATGGGACACAAATTGATATGCATACAGGTTTCGACGGAAAATGCAAAATTTTACATTTTGGCTGCCAGTGGATGAACGGAGCGCATCTGATCTGTGCAACTGGCAGGATATTTAAGAAGAGAAATTATGATTCTAGGTCATAAATTCTTCACGAATTTCATTCCAAGTACTCTGGTAGACAGTAACTGTGCCTCGCATACAGGTGCGCGAACGATATGCGTAAATATCAGAATTTGAGAGAGGTTGTGTAGTTGGACTCAAAGAAGCCGGTTGGTCTTATCAGCAAAATAGCTCGACATTTGAGCAGGAGCAATGCCACTAGTAAACGATGTTGGCAGGAATGGGTGAATCATGACCACACACAGCTTCAAGAAAGAAGGAAGCGGTAGGCCTAGAGAAACGACAGAACATGAAGACTGAGCAATCGTCACAGCAGCACTCACAGCCCCAGATGCATTATTATCATCAGCTGTACATGCAACTAGTGCTTCAGTGACCACAAGGACCATTCATAGACAGCTCACAGAAAGGAGGCTAAGGTCACTGCGCCCCTTGCACCTACTACTATTGACCTCTGTACAACATCAAGCCCGTTTGTAGTGTTGTCGGGCTCATTCGCATTGGAATGTCACTGAGTGGAGTAGAATAGCCTTCAGTGATGAATCCGGCTTTGAACTGAGCCCTGATGACCAGCGAATGCGAGTCTGAAGATGCCTCGGACAGGGGTGTGATAGCAACCTGACTGTCTTCCGGCAGACAGGCCGACAACCAGGAGTGATGGCCTGGGGTGCCATTTCATTTCATAGTAGGACCCCTTTGGTTGTCATCTGTCGCAACCTTACAGTACAGCAGTTCATTGACGAAGTTCTAAGGCCCGTTGTGTTGCCCTTCATGTCATGTCACCCTGGGCTTAATTTCAGCAAGATAATGCCTGCCCCCACACTGCCTTAGTGCTTGCCGAACATTACCTTGGCCAGCAAGGTTGCTGGATCTCTCTCCTATTGAGCATGTTTGGAGCATTATGGGCAGAGCCCTCCAACTAACGCTGGATGTTGACGATCTAACGCGCCAGTTGGACAGAATTTGGCACGATATCCATCAGGAGGACATCCGCAACCTCTATCAATCGATGCCAAGCCGAATAACTGCTTGCATAAGGGCCAGAGGTGGACAAATGGATGATTGGAAGAAAAATTGGATGATTTATTGAAGCTCTATCACTTCAATAAATCATCCAATGTTTCTCAAACTGTAATCATTTGCTTTTCTGTACATGCACATCACTTGTGCTGATTTTCGTCCCATTCAGATAACTCCTTCTTGGTGCGTCTTTTTTTTTTTTTTTTTTTTTTTTTTTTTTTTTTTTTGTCTAAGGGTGTAGTTTTATTGATTGATTTTTGGGATAGGTACCCAATTAAAGCATGAAAAGTGTGTACAAGTGTACAATAAAGAATTTTTTGCAAATATTTTTTTTTCCTTCTGTAACATATTGCTAACTGTACTATGGTTGCATTAATATATAGTAAGTATTCAAATGCTTTTGCAAGCAATATCGATGATGCTGTATCAGTGTTACTACGAGCTCATCCTTTGAGATTTTCTTTTTTAGATGTTTCCCATTGTAAGCGATACTTTTCTTCATCTCTTATGGTTGATGGCATCAGTGCTAAACTGAAATCACAGCTTGCCAGTCCTATAAGTTTATTATCATTTTCGTATGTAGTCATTTGTGCTGCAACTGTTATTTGTTGCTGTTTATTCAGCACCATCTTAGATACTGATTTAAATGTTTGGGTATGTGTTTCTTATATGAAAGGGGAAGATGAAGTTTCATATTTAATATATCATTCATTATTTTCCTGTATAATATATAGTAATATGCTATACTTAATTTCAAACATTTTTACATTTTTCTGGCTCAGTTCATGTATATTACATTGTTATATAAGTATTTCATTTAATCATACTTTATAAGGGTAGAACTGTGTAATGCTGTATTTATTAAGGAGTTTTTTTTTTTTTTTCCCGTTTTCTTAGAAATCCATATGTATTTGCTGATCCAGCTGAAGAAAATCATGCTCTTCATAATGATGACAACAGTAATTCTAATTCAAGTGCTTCTGATGAGGGTTCCGAAGAAAGTGATGAAGACAAGAAACTTTTTCCTGATTATGACAATATGAAAGTATTATCACACAAGCACATGCCCATACCTCAAAAGACTTCAAAAACTAAGTTAATATCTCCTATAAAACCTACTGAAGTATCAAAGGCACAGTTAAATAACATGCCAATTGAATTTATTCAGAGAGTCTTTCAAGACTGGATTACAGAAGACACCATGAAGTACATTCTTGGTGAAAAGCAGATATATTCTATAAAAGCTGATCTTTTGTTTCAGAGTATGCATAACTCCAGCTCTTATGATACAGACAAATTATCATCTATGAAAGATGAATATATTAATTTGTGCTTGAAACTGGACAGACTTCCTGAGGAAGAGGAAGATGATAGTGACTCTGTAGAAATAACCATTGAAGGTGCTAATCCACCTGAAAGACACCAGACTGCATCTAATGATTCTGAGCCAAAGGAAGAAACAGTTTCAAAACCTGAAATACAGAAAAGCAGCCTAAAGAAAAGGCCTAGAAGGAAAACAAAAGGGAAAAGTAAAAGTGTTGCTTTTGCCTCAGCTGATAAGGAAAAGAAAAGTATCTCTAAACCTAGCACTAGCTTTAAGGTATGTTAATAATGCTTTTGAAATGTATTATTTATTTTCTATATTTTATTTCTTTATTTTAAATGTAATAAATCTAATATATAAAAATAATCAGAAACATAGTTTTTATGAAATTTAATGAGATTTCTAATTTTATATTTAATAAATTGCAGGAAGTTGAAGAACCTTCGATGTTACTAGTTGACCCAGCTTTCCCGCTGATTGATTCTGTATCACAAAATGGCCTTAGAAGACAAGTTTTGACCAGCAAATTAAAAGCAGTGTAAGTAATTTGATTAATAAGCATTTATAAGGATTTATAATTCCCTGTAAAATAGGTTATACTGTACTAAAACATGTTAAAAATACAATTTCACTAAATAGCATATTAAAAATGCAATTTTATTATGAATAGGAGACTTATTTGTAAATATATAATCATTGGCATACCTATTGTAGTTAAAGTTTCATATTCAGAATTAAAATTTGTAAATTCTAAATAAAGTGTAAATAGTAGTAAATTAGATTTGGAACAGTTTATTATAATAATGCTTTACATCACCTGTCTCAATATTACTTGATGTTTATTTTTAAATTTCTGATAAGAAGTTATTAACACTTAACTATTTGCAGATACTTTGACATGCTGCCTCTTCTTGGTCTGCATTATAAAAATATTAGAGACAGTGTTAAACAAATTGTGGATACATTTAGGTAATTCAAAGTTCTTTATTCTGTATTTTATCTCCTCTTTTTAAATACACATAATGTATTTGAAAGAAATAGCTTTAACTCTTATTTTCATAAATATTATATTAGGAATGTGTTTTCAATGATAAACTTTCTGAATGTAAGGTAGAAAATTTTATGAGAGTACTAGGATGGTACAAGTTCAGCACTAGGGTGGTTTTAAAAATGCAAAATTTTCATATAATCTTTGTGGACATATTCCAGTTAAAAGTATATATTTTACTTTAAGAAATTGAATGCAAAGAATTTCATAGCTTTGAAAAATTAGTAAAGGTATTTAAAAACAAATTTGTTGACTCAGAGTACTTTTCAGCATATAAATTAAATATTTCTGAAAGTTTCCCCTAAACCTTAGACACTGAGAGAGTAGAAAAAAAAGTAGATCATTTTGCTTGCTAAAGAAACTGTATTGGATAAAACAGTGTCATGGTTATTAATTGTATAGCCAACCCAAGAAATTATAAATTGCTCATATCTCATTGAATTTTGCTCATATTGAGCCCATATAAAAAGTTAACCTACATTTTCAAAACTGTTTTGCCTCTAATTCTCAAATATTGTTGTCATAAAATTTTCTGCCTTTCTTGAGAAACTTTGTAAGTGCACGATGCACTTAACTAATCAATATATAAGAAAGTAAAGGCCTACTTTTCCAAGTCATTATCATCACTTTTAGCTTAAGGAATAATTTTTCTGTTATTCATTGCGAGTGGAGTGTCGGAATCCACAAAAAATTCAAAAAGTTCCTTTTTCTGTTTTCTTATGTCATGTACAGTTGACTTTCTAATGCCATACTCCTCGCATGATTTTGAGACGAATATACTTTTATCCATTTTTTTTGCAGCAATTCCACTTTTTTGTTTAATGGACATTGAAACATGCTTTCGATTTGTAGATCTTGTTGCAGTGCCAGAATTAGAAACTCTTTTCGACATAATTGAAAGTTCAAACTTTCATTTTCATAAAATTGCTGTAATAATAATAGCCTGCAAAAAACAATTAGAAATCAGATCAAACCATAAAGTTAAGGGACAGCACAGCCTGCTATATTAACTAAAATTCCTTGGAATCAGTAGAGTATAATTTTAGCCTAGCTTAATAGAACCTGCTATACATTATCGGCCGTATCACTTAGGAAGTCCTCCATGAAGGCATTCCTTCCCTTGGGCAAATAGTTCTAGTGTGCTTTGCTATAATCAGCTAAACCTAACCAAACTTTGGCTTAGCTAGACTGCTGCTTTCTGCTTCTCTTCTTACTACAAAGCTATCAGAAATTTAAATGTTTTGAAACAAGCATGATTATGGATCAACATCTACACAATCAACTATTCTACATCATTGCATGTATATATGAATATTTAAAAAAATTAATTTTCTGTTGCATAAAATGAGATTAAAAATTTGGCATTATAAATTCCATAAACTTAATGTGAGTAGTTTTTAGCCAGCATTCTAGCCATTATGTCTTACCTTAAATATGTTTTCAGAAGTTTTTCAAGTCTACTTGTGCTTTTAGCTTTTCAGTTGCCCAAAATTTCTTACTAGCATTGAAATTTTAAGTTTAGAAACAGATTGTAAACAGGATGAACTTAAATCAACATACTGAATCCAAATCTTATCTATAATAACAAATGTCTACATAAAAATCATTTTTTTTCTCATATATAATTTTTCAGTCAGGATTTGAAGTGATGGAGCAAGATAATTATAAAGTTAGCAGTGTTAAGTATCTAATTACTAAGCCACAAAACGGTATTTTGGATTTTTCTAATGATTTTGGGAATTGAAATACTTTTCTGGAAGCTACTGTAAAAATCACCTTTAAGATGATGTACTTAAAATCATTTCATAATTCAAGTCTACGTGGAAACTGAAGACCATAAAAGAGCAGAATTCCCTGAAATATTTTTCATAGTTTTATTAATTTATCTCTCTCTCTCTTTTAAGAAATTGTCAGATTTTTTTTAACTAAATATTTAATAATTGCATGAGGTTTGATTTTCTTAATTTTGTGTGAAAGAAACAAAGCATGCTATATTGATAATAAAAAGCAACGCTAGAGCAACTTTTAATTTTCCACTCAAATGAAAATAAAATATAGATTTTGGATGTGTATTATATACCATATTTCTTTTTTCTATTTTTAGACTTCTTTGATTTTAAAAATTGCATATTAATTTATTTGTTAACATTTTAAAGTATATATATATATATTTTAGTCTCACTCCAACAAATATCATTTATAAGCCAAAAGAATGGAAAGTAATTGCATTAGTGCTGTTCAGAATGTAAGTATTTTTCACTTATTTTATTCTTTTAAACTTATTTATGCAATTTTTTAACTGATTAAATTAAGATTACTAAAATAAATTATCAAAATAAATTTGGTAAAGAACATGTGTATCTAGAATATGATATAACAGCAGTGAAAGTGCTTTTAGAGTATAATTTACAATTTTTTAACACCAGTTGATTACATTCTATTATTAAGCTCAAGTGATTTTTCTGTGTCGTAAGTTTCTGCTATTTTTAATTTGCATTTGCAATTAAATCAATTGCTAGACTTTCTAAGCATAATTTTGTATGTAGAAAAAAAAAGAAAGGAAGAAAAGTAAATCAAAACTTATAAAGAAACAAAGGAAGAGAAATTCAAAAGGGAATTTCATTAATTGTGTGCTAAATGTAGTTACAAATAATGTTATAAAACAAGAACATTAAAAAAATCTTTTTATTCTTGAAGGCAGAGAAAAAGAAAAAAAAAACAACTTTTAAATAAACAAATACACACACACACACACACAAAAAAAAAAAAAAAAAAAAAAAAAATTCCTGTAAAAGTTAAGGGAGTAGACCAATAAAAAATTGTAAAATTGCTCAAAATGTTATTGAAAAATTGAAAAAAATAAATTTTTTACAAAAAAAATGATTGCAATTAACCAAAATTAAAGATGACATTTGTGAATTGTATTAGGTATTGCACAAAACTTTTTATTTGAGATAAAATTACCAAACAATCTCTGTAGAATAATGAATTATTTCAAAAAGTAGACCATCAGTATATGTCAAAATTTTTCAAAATAGTATCATTTAGAATTTCTGCTATAGTGCACTTTTTTGTTTCTTTAAAAAATAAGTTGTTTATGCAAAGTGGACAACCTGATTTCAAAACGTATTTTTCATTAGGTATATGGTTGAATATCATCAGTAACGTACCATCAGTGAGGTTATATTTAAGTAAAGATCAAGTAAGAACACCTTTATATGGTTATTGGTGATCATCAGTACCTTATCCATGAGGTTAATACATCAGAACTAAACAAGTAAACCATGCTGATTTTCAGAATAAAGAAATTAAGTAATAAAAGTGAATAGTTTTATTGGTAAAAATTTCAGTGTTCAAAAAAGCCACTTTCATGGAAGAATAGGAATTTTTGTAAAAATTATGGTTTTTTCAAAGTTTATTGTATATAATAGTCATATATAATAATTAGAGTATTTCAATACATCTGTGTATGCATAAAATTATTAGGCATATAATTCTACAAGATTCAACACTTGTTATGCTAAATATTCTAGTATCACTGATCAGAGAAATTTTATAAATAGAACTTTTGATTTTGTAACTATGCATAGCTAACCCAATAAAGTAAAAAGTAGAAAAATTGATAAAATTCTATACATTATTTTTTAAAAAAATACATAATTTATTTATTTCTAACGCGTTTGTGCTTCTCTTAATTCACATTCATAATATAAACTGTTTCAAAGTAATAATTGGAACAGCTTTCTTGAACTGGAAATTTTTGGATTCAAAATTATATTGAAGAAACATTGTCTATTTGATAATTTTTATACAGTTAATCTCAACAGATTTTTTTTTATCCAAAATTATAAATTTCTTTTCGTCTAGTCATTTACTAATCTGTTTCTTGGCAATTTATTGTTAGGGTAGGAGTTAATTGTATTGCTTTAATTTCAGACTTAAATCTTATGATCAACTAAAATAATTTTTTTTTATTTGTATCATAAACAATTTTGCCATTTAATGATATTAACTGTCACAAAGAAACTTCTTTTCAAATAAAAAGTTTATTATTACAACAGTAAAGCATTTTAATTCTAAAATTTGAATGGGGACGGAAGGGAAAAAATGGAACTAGTGAAGTTAAAAACCACTCAGATGTTCTGCATTAACATTTAAAATTATGTTGAGCTATAAATGATTTAATTATTGCAGTAACATTTTTTCAACAAATAAACGAAATTTTTCTTTTCTTTGAAATAATGTTACTAAGATGATTAATCATTATTAAAATGTTTTATGATGTAGATTAACCAAGACTGTTCTGGAGGATCTTCATGATGAAGATAAGCTATTGAAATTAAGTGAAAACCCAATAATTCCAGTACGTATATGTATCCAAGAAATAGAGAAGTTAGTGACAGATCTCATCAGCCCTCGACAATTACAAAGATTACAGGGTTTGTGTGAAAAAGTTAAGTAGAGGAAATTTTATTGTTTATGTTTGTAAATAAAATATTTACCAGATTTATATTTTTCACACATGTTTATTTATTTGTTTAACACACTGGAAATACATGCTTTATTTAAATTAACCTTTTTCTACTATGAATTATTGTGAAAAAGAAGTTATTTTTTAACATACTTAAAATGTAAATAATAAATTTGTTTTAGGCAACATGGGCAGGGGGCGAATTTTTGGAGGATGTTGGCTAAGTTATTCTCACAAGCAACAGCCAAGTAAAGATGCATTATTTTGCTTTGAATTTATAAATGTGTTTAATTTATACAGGGCAATAGTTGTACTGGGTCACATTAATTGTAGCCTAGGGTACCGAAAATGCTAGAAACAGGTCTAGGATTGCTATAGCAGCACATTTTATATATCTTCCGTGACAATTACATTAATGTAAAAATATAATGAAATGCACATTTTTTCATTAACATGACTTGTATATCACATCATTCACATGAGGTCCCTCCATGCAGTTAAATAATACTTTTGCATCACGAGCATTTTAGACAGTGAACTAATGAAGTAAATAAAGTAAATGATGACTGAGAAAGATACTATCATTAATTTTTTGTTCTTCATGCTTGAATAGGAAATAATGACATTTATTTTTCCCTTTTTATTAATTCTAAATATTGCGTTTTTACTATCTCATTTAAACTGAGACTGACTCACCAACAGCCGAGCAGTAAAGTTGCTGAATTCAGGTAGCTAGACCAGTGTTTGAATCCAGCTAAGTGGGCATTTTTGTGGTTTTGCCCATCTGTAACGTGTATATAAGCCACAAAGGCATCCATCATCTTAGGCAAAAATGATGCAAAGTATATCTTTGAAGCAGGGATGTGTATTAATTAAAATTTATGTGTTTAAAGGTCTATTCTATGATTCCAATTAAGTTAAATAATTTAGTTCCATATTTTACATATGTATACTTAAAATATTCTAGTCTATAATCCCAGTTTTGTTCTTACAATAGCCAAAACGCGGTTGTTACTCAGTGTTTGAAGCTGTCCATAAATCTCATTACTCCGTGACATAAAACTTTCAACATTACTGTCCAGAAAACTATGAAAAGAGGATAAGTTCTACTTTTTAGTCTTTTATCCAGAAAACTGTTTAAAAAATATTTTCCAGTCAGTTTCTCTTAAAAAGTTTGAAGCATCACTTGTTTTAGCATATAAAAACAAGTGCATTGCAGTACATAGTTTATGAGACACGAAATTTAACTTCGAAAAAAATATAATATTCTTATTCTTAGGCATTTTCGGATCAGACATATTCAACTTGTTCATTTGTTTTAGAACAAAAATCAAGGCAAGTGCTTTAAAAAGGATCCTGATAAATGCTTTGAAGTTTCACTATACCTTCCAAAACTTTTAGCCTGTGAATTTATATGTACTCAGCACACTTAAGTACACTTTGTAGAGTCAAAATATTTTTTATATAAGAAAAGATTTATTCACATAGATATGTGGAAAAGCACGGAAAGCGGAGCATATGCAATCTTCTTCAAACAAATCTCTCCAGCATTGACATCCAGCAATTTAAAATAGCTGTCATTTTATCATTAGAGTTATCTTCCAGATTTATTCATAAATTTTGTTGTCTATAACTCTGAAGATGTTTGTTCAATAAGTTCCATTTCAAAATTATCAACTTGCACTCAAACATGCACTCAAAATTGACAAATCGGATGGGATTATTAGTGGGTCTATTAAATCTGGTTTAACTAAGAAGGAAAATATAAGAATAGGAGCTTCAAAGTCCCTGCATCTTTTGGAAAATTCTTTCTTAAGTGCTTCAATGTAGGTTTGGAGTTCACTTTTGTCTAAGGTCGATGTATTTGCAAGTGCTTACATTTGGGAAGAATTGATAGATACTGGTACACACACACACACTGGCCAGATTTTCATTTGAATCTAGGGATGAAGTATAAAAATATTTTTTATGATGTGGGTTACATGTGATTTAGAATGTTAGTATAAGTAAGATGCAAGATTGCTTTTCATGATGAACGAAATAAAATGGGAAAAACAACAGATCTTTCGCCATTTGAAAAAGGGCTTCTTGTTCGTGCCCGTTTAGAAGGCCACGATTTTGAAGACAGCAAATCTCACTGGGTTCTCAAAAGCAGCCATATCAAAGGTTTTCAAAAGTTGGAATAAGAACCCACAATCCTTCTCTAGAAGACGGAATTGTGGTTCAAGCACAGTTTTCCAAGAGAATGATCAGCATCGTCTCCGATGAATCATACGGCAGAACAGGACTCCGCTGTGCTTCAACTGACATAAATTGTCAATCAAGGCTCTTCCCAACAGATTTCAGCTCCAAACATGCGCAGAGGATAGGAATGCATAGTGAAAATACCACTCTTTTCTGCCTGACATGCAAGAATTTGTTTGCAGTGGTGTTGGAAAAGAAGACACTGGACATTTGAGGATTGGAAATGGGTAGACGTCGAATTTGGCGAGAACCCCATGAAGCCAAGAATCCTTCGTGCCTTACTTGCACTGTGCAAGTGTCTGGTGGGAGTATCATGATATGGGGCATGTTCTGCAGGCATCGAAGTGGTGCCCTGGTATTCTTCGAGGGTAAACAAACAGCTATGGGCTACCTAGATATACTGGCAGATCAAGCGCACCCTGCAGTGTTGCATTTTTACCCTGATGGTGACTGATACTTCCTGGACGATAATGCAACTAGATATCGTGCCAGAAGTGTCCAAAATTGGTTCACTGGTCCGACTTCCAGCACCTTTCCTGGCAACCGTATAGCCCAGATCGGTGGAAAGACGCATCCAACAGTACTCTCCTCTTCCATCTAATTTACAAGATCTAAAAATTCGTATAGCAAATGCATGGTATTTTCTCTGGATGTAAATGCACTCCAGAAGCGTATAGACTAGACGCCCAAATGAATCAAAGCAGTTATCCATGCAAAAAGGTGGTCCAATATTAATCTTGGTTTTCTAATTCTTTGGTCAGTAATATATTAAATTTTGCAGCAAAGCCTTTCCAATATTCAAAAAGTTCAAGTACTCTTTGGTCCTTTCCTTGGAAGTCTTAGTTCATTGAGATGTTTAGTTATTTCAGTCAAAAACGTTAATTTGCATAACCATTCTTTATTGTTCAATTCGAGAAAATATTGATTCTTCTCATTAAAAAAAACTTCAATATTGTTCCATGCATGACACAAACTTATTCAAGACATTACCTCAACTAATCCAATGGTATAATGTCCCATCATAGGAGGTAACGGTGGTCACCTATTAGGTGCCTCTACAATAAAATGCGGCGGTATTAAGGGAGATCCACATATTTGCTTTCCATTTCTTCTAAGAGATTTAAATTGCTTGTATGTACCAATAAAGAATGAGACACTATGAAATGAACTATTTTAATAACAGTGTTCATTCCAGAAATTAAGTGCTGTGAGAACATTTTGGCAACTAAACTTTTCTGACGGCACAGAGAGGAAAGGGAGGGCGATTTATCTTTGCCTGGTAACTTTGTAGTTGCTGCCCAGACAGTATAATGGCTAGGTGAGCCTGACTGCGATACCGAAGGGCCTGGATTCGAATCCTGGAGAAGACATGGATGCAAAATTGTCTGTCCCTTCATAGGAGGTAACAGTTGTCACCTATTAGGTGCCTCCACAATAAAATGGCCACCACTTTTGGCCTTAGGAGTGGCCAATGCCATTATGAGCAAGTGCCCGCCATTGGGGGAGGACTGTAGAAGTGCCACTGAAAATTGTACCGCGTGCCTAAGGTTAACGACGCCTGATCCAGAGTGATCTGAGAATGTTATGTGGGAATTAATTACATAGAAAATCATCCATCAGTCAAATGGAGGATTTAATCTAAAATTCTGTGAAACAAGAAGTCAAGTTCCTGGGGACTACACTGATATTTTGTGTGGATTGTTGATATACAAATAAGGCTGTTTTGCAACAGTATGTTCTATTTTCATTTATAAGGACATACAATCTCCCAGCAAGGTTTTTCAATGCTGTAAGTTATACATTTTACCATATTTGGCTTCAACAACATTCCGTAAGACCTAGATCACTCTTAAATGAAAATTGATACTTGTGCAAATTGGCTAATACATATGCTACAAAAGGAAAACTAATATCTGAATATACGTATTCTGAGAATAATTAATTCATTGTGTACTTCCTTTATCAGAATGCTTTGTATAGTTGTTACAAATCACATGGAATAAATAGTACTTGACTTTTTAAACTAGGTGTTTATTTTTATTTATTTTTTTTATTTTTTTTTTTTTTTTTTTTTTTATGTAGTGAATGAGAGGTTTCAAATATAATAAAAAAGGAAACATGTACACAAAATCAATGTCTTTTAATCAGCATAAATATATACATACACTGGAATTCCAAATAAAAGCAATAACATCAGTTTCCATTCCAATATACAAATAACAATAGTAAGTACTGCATATAAAATGTTCATTGAAAATGCATAAATTAGGAACAAATTTTTGACACACACACACTTACTGTTTAAATACTGGTAAGAGAATGGGAAAGAAGGTTCTAGAAATCACTAATCTGTTAAAAAAAAAAAAAAAAAAAAAAAAAAAAAAAAGAGCCGAAATCATTAACCTTAGCTGAAACAAATTTTATGGATATATAAAAAAAAGAAAGAAAGAAAAAAAAAAAAACACATTAAGGAAATCCAGTTTACTAGTTGGTTATGAATCTAGCAGTGCTGAGCAATGGGCAATTTATATTCTTTGTGCCCCTTAAAACAGGATTCAAGGTATTCACTAAGGAATTTGATATTGCGCTGAAACAAACAACGCTCCTCCACAAATACAGCATTTGTGATCAACATTGAAACATAGAGATGCTTTTTAGTTAGCCATTTGTGAATTGATCAATCCTTACAGGAGTCATCCTCCCATGTATGTTCTATTTGTGAAGAATGCTTTTAAAAAGCATTTCCATACTTCAGTTTTAATTGCACATTGTATAAAGAAACATATTTGTTTAGT